AAGAACAAATTGCAAATATATAAATTAGGTAAAATTAGGAAAGGGTTCAAACAAAAAGTAAAATGGAAAGATCATACACAATAAACTAAATCAAAATTAACTGAATTATTAATTGAAATAAAATTTTAACATTATTAAAAACTGTTAATTAACTTGAAAATGACCTATTTGTTATGAAATTAGAAACCTTAAAAGGGCATAATGTAATTTCTAAAACTACAGGAAGTAATTTATAATTTGAGTAAACCTCAGGGGTGTGTTTGTAATTTACCCTTAATTTAACAAAAAAAATTATTTGGAAACTGGTAATTTATTTAATGCACTCAGAATAACATTATTAAAATGTAAGAAGCATCCTGCTTGAAGAACAGATTTTGAAGGGAAAAAAAAAGAAAAATTTATAAATGCACAACAAATTTTAAAAAATAAAAATAAATATAAAAACATATCAGGAGCATCCAAGTTTGAGGGATAACAACAAATTGGCTGGGTTGTTTTGCCCAAAAAGTGGGGAAAAAAAATTGAACAACTAATTAATTTAACAAAAATTGTATATTAAATTTAATATTTTTGAAAATTGTTAATTTATATTTTGTACTCATAAGAAAATATTTGTGGTATATGACTGTAGTTGGGAGGCTTTAAATGCATCCTAAAATTTTAAGTGCATTTAGAGCTTGCCCTATAATTATATGCATACCTAGGATAAATGACAAATATACCAAGTAATTCATGGTTTCATATATTGATTTTTGGGAAATTTAAAAAAGAAAAAAAACTTCAAAATCTTGACCTCGGTAACAAATCAATCCTAACTTGAAATTATTTTAATTCTAACCATTAATTTCTATGGGCCATTTAAACAGTCTAACAATTTTTTTCCCTTTATTTTGGTGTTGACAGTCATTTGCTACCCTTACCATGATCCATCACTACCCCCATCTCTTTTCCCCATCTACCACTACTCCCCATTTTCCTCACAAATGGGCATCAAAACGTCAATTTCTCTAACCCCAGTAAAAAACAATGGTCACCACATCAATTTCATATGGTACTGTCAAAATTTCACAGGTCATGTATATCACCAACTTAAGGTACGACTCTACAAACCCATATCAGTTACCTTGGGCTTCATATGGCACTATCAAAATTTCACAGGTCATGTATCTCACCAACTTAAGGTACGACTCTACAAACCCATATTAGTTACTTTGGGCTTTGTTTAAAAGGAAAGAAAAAAAAATTAAATTTATGAAAAGGAAACGTAGGAGAAATTATTCTTTTGCCCAGCCAAACACAAACACAAATAAAAATAAAAAAGAGAGGTATCGGGGAAACTGACAAAGATAAAATCCTGAAATTTCAAGCGGAAACTGAAATCATTACCCAACTAAATAAAAATATACTCACAAAGATAATATATATAAAAAATGTATACAATCCAAATTCTTTGTAAAAAATCTATAGAATCTATAAAAAAAATCTATACAATCTATATCCAAATAAAATGTATACAATCTATAAACAAATAAAATCTAGTACATAGTCACCACATAAAATAAAAAGAGTGATCTTACCTGGAGAGCAGCAGTTTCGGGAGCGAGGGTATGGAAGAAGAAGAACGGGGCTGGAGAGCAGTAGAGGGAAAATCTAACATATTGTAAAGATGAATTAATTGCAACCTATCAGGATTACAAAACAACATAATAAAGCATTCAATATGGCTTTACATAGATTTGAAATAAACATGGGACTTTAAAAACCAAATCCATTAGGTACATGAGCAAGGTTGGCCAAGCATGTGAAAACCAAGCTCAGCCTAGATGGGCTTGGATTCAGTTCAGACCAAGTTTAATTAAGCTGAAGTTGAACAATTCAGTGACCAATTAATCTAGAGCTGAAGCTATCAATAAGTCAATAAGTTTCATTTGCAGAAATATACAGCTATGTATGAATTCACACACATATATATAGACACATTTAATAAATACCTTCAATTGTTCAGTAAAAGTAAATCAAAGCCCCCCACATTAAAAAAAAAATACCTGGAAGCACACAAAATTTAACTGAATATTTGAAATAGCCTATTATAATATGGTACAAATATATGGAAGATAGCCCCGTTGGACTACCCCTGTGTAGCTCTCCAGGTAACCTAAAATAATTTAGATTGGAAGCACCTTTTAAAACCAATATGAAAGAATACCATCTAGGTAACAATTAAGCATATCAAATTCAAAACTTATAACATATTGTAAACACACAAAATTTAATTCTAACCATTCATTTCTATTGAAACACACAAAACAAATGGTATTCTTTTGAATTCTGGTAATTATTTATGGTAATTATGGTAATCAAGTTAGGATTGATTATGGTAATTTCTGTTTTTCTTCTGAATTTTGTTTATGGTAATTCATTTTTCTGAATTCTAACTTGAATTCTAACTTGAAGCACCTTTTCTTAATTATGGTAATCATTTTTCTGAATTTTCTTCTGAATTCTAACCATTCATTTTGTTTATGGTAATTCTCCCAGGTCCAGAAAGAAATGCATCACTTGGATTGCAGTTTTAAATTTTTCGTTATCTAGTCAAGTACTTTATTCATCTATGGGAGTACTACCAAGTGAACAGAAAGAAGGGGAAAAAAAAAGTAATACTAAGAGCAATCAAAAGATAGAAAAGGACCAAGGTAAAGTACTTGCATTACATAGGTGAACTTCAGCACTGGAATTTTGCTTCCTCAACTCTTCTAGTAACTGAAACATAATGTCAACATAATTTTGCTTCCTCAACTCTTCTGTAAATTAATGAAGAAAGAGGATCTAAAATTCAATAAAATAAGATCATTGACCTTGTCAATTAGGAACATGAAGGAAGTGAACTATTTAAGAAATTAAACATGTAGATATAGATGGTGAAAAATAAAAGAAATTGGAACATATCAATTTGCCTTGAGACCTTCAAGAGACAAAGTCAAATCAGCCCAAAAAATGTTTGTAACAAAGTCTATGAAAGAAAATAGATAAACCCATTTGAAAAGAATACCCTAATGTTGCACATTTAATCATCTTCAGATTGTAGAAATAAAAAAGAGAGAAAGGTAAAAGAGAGAGAGTTTTGGCAAAGCCAACTTCATTTGTCTTTATAACCAAGTTATTTATCAAAAATGAGGTTATTCAAGTATGTTTTTGGGGTTCATTTGTCTTTATAACCAAGTTATTTATAAAAAATGAGGAAAGAAAAGTGTAAATTTTGAATTTTGGTTTTTTATGTAAATGTTACGTGTCAATACTTCATTCTCTTTTTATAAAATATTAACAAACTTTTATAAAGGAATTTTTTTTGTTTTGCCAAATTTTATAAAGGAGGTTTAATAAATAAACAGTCCTAAACTCCCATATGAGCAACACCAGTCAAAGAACCAAATTGACAACATTACCACTAAACATACACTCCATCAAAAATAACAAAAAGACGACAGAGCATTGAACTATAATTGACAACATTACTGAACCTCATTGAACTAAAATATCATTCCCACTAAACATACACTCCATCAAACATAAAATCCTAAGGCAGCAAACAAAACCAAAAGTGGCAAAATGAACACACAAAAAAATAATAATAAAAATAATAATAATCTTCATATTCATATCAGCAATGAAACATCAAGTCTTGATAAAATCATAGTGAAGAGAAACTCCCATTCTAATTTAAAAACCTTTAAAACAATAACAAACAATAGCTCGATTGGTAAGCAAGACAAAGATTTCATACCTTTCTTTCAAGTCTCACCAGTCAACACATGTTCTCTGAATAAAAAGTCCACCGAAAATCAATGGACTCCTGGTTACGAAAAAAATGAAACACAAAATCTATAAAATCAATAGCCAAATGTAATTTAATTGAACCACATAAAGTCCACCGAAATAAACCTGTGAAACTGGACAAAACTTAGGTTTGTATCAATAGCCAAATGTAATTTAATTGAACCACATCATTAATTGAACCACATAAAGTCCACCGAAATAAACAATTTAATTTAACTGGAAAAAATGACACAAAATCAATCATTTGTATAATACATACATACACACACATACATATGTATGTATTATAAACACATACATACCAGTCTATAGATACATATATATATCAGTCTATAGAAGTTAACGTAAGATGTGAAGAAAGATGAAGTCAAAACCTTTACCAAGGACAGATTGGGGAAGAATCAGAGTTGTTCATCATATGTTTAAGAAGAAAAACCTAAAAATCTCTACACTACCAAAACATCAATAACACAAATGTTTCAAAACCCCAAAATCGAAACCATACGTCAATTGAACAAACTAACCAGATACAAACTAATTGAATATAGATCCAAGCAATTTCAGAATCGAAAATGAATAAAAACAATTGAAATCGAATGCAAATCAAAATGTCTATTGTGTAGCCATGGAAAACTCCTTATCTCGAGTCATAGCGTATGTCTTAGAGCATCTGTATTCAGCCATTTTTTGATCAAATTTGAGCAGATAAGAGCAGAACCAATGTACCAAGACATACCCATTTTCAAATCAAACCACAAGCATACAAACTTATGTATATAATAACATAACCAAAAATATGTATATACACGATGAATTGAAGTACCAACCACAAAGAACGGCTCAGATGAATTTAAGGATCCAAATATCTCTGCATCTATTCAATGCATACTCTTCATTAGCTTCGTCGAAAATAGCTGGTTTTGCTATGATTTTTGAGAACCTTGAATCACAGTATTGCCTGTAAAAGACCTGAACAGAGTTCAAATTAGAACATATCAAATAATATTGGGTGCTCAGATTAGAACATATCAAATTAGAACAGTATTGGGTGCTCAGAAAACAGAGGAAAAGCAAACAAAATCCCAAAAGTTAACTTAGCCCAAATTGTGAACTTTTCTGGGCAACCGAACAGAGTTCAAATTAGAACATATCAAATAATAGCTTACCGGATTGAAGGTGTGACAAAACCAGACCCATTGGGGGATGATGAGTTGATGTTGATCCAACCGTAAGATCAGAAATCAATGGCATCCAAAGCTCATCATACCTGAATAAAACCAATCAACCACAGATTACTTACAATAAGACTTTCATTGACCCACACACACCAAAAAAAAAAAAAAGTGTTATGACCTTCGTACAGATTCGAGTGTTATGACCGGCGATCAAAGAATCGAACAGCCCTAGGGTCCTGAAAACAGAGCACCACAATCAGATTGGGGTTGTGAGATTTTTCAAACATTTCCACTCAGAGAGAGAGAGTCAAAGAAATGCAAAGAACATAAGGGTTTTCTTACACGGGGTAGGGTTTTGAAGAATGAGAGGAACCCTTGCGCTTGCTTAGCATCTATCACAAAAACAACAAATACCCACAAAAATTGAATAAACCCAAATTGAATAAACCCAAATCGAAACACCGTCGGTATCGAAGGGAGCCTGCAGAAGATTGTCTGTTTGGCACCGAAACAACGGCACCATCGAGCGGTGAACACGGCGCAGATGCGGACTACGGCGCTGCTGCAGAAGAGGGGCGTGGTTGATGTGGTTGTGAAGGAGGCGGTGGTTCTGGTAATGGTAGTGCGACGGATCGAGAGAGAGCTTGGAGAGAGGGAGTTAAGAGACGTTTGGCAGACGTGAGAGAGAGAGCAGACGTGGGAGAAAGAGTAGAGAGAGTTTTGGACGGGAAAAAAATAGATCTCAACCGTACATATTCAATAGGATTGATCTGGACCATTTAAATGAAATGTATCTCACATACATTTTATATATTTTCAAAATCCCTCTTACTTTATTATATAGATGTGGGTGGCTCATATATTTATTTTTTTATGATGTCGACATTTTTTTATTGATCTTTATATATTAGTATAATGTCGACATTTTTTTATTAATCTTTATCTCGATTGTTTTCAATTAAGTACCAATAAAACTGGTTGATTGCCAGTAGGTAGTGATAAAAAACAAGAGATACATATCATTTCTCTATTTAATAACTCTTACAGGGTAAAGTTTGTATTCGTCACGCACATATGCAGATAACAAAAAATTCCTACTACCTTGTTTGTAGGAAATCCTTTCCTGATTGAGAATTCAATAGCGTGTAATTCGGACAGGCTCGATTCAATTGAAAGGTTATTTAAACTAAATCTAAGTTGTGTTGAGACTTGTCAAGGTTTGAATTGTTAAATTATAACCCAAAATTATCTGTCTAAGCGCGATTCGAGTTAAACTCGAATTACTCGAGTTGTTCGAATTGTCCGAGTTGTACATGAATTTCAGTTTTTTTTTTATAGATAAATTATTAATTTATTAAAATTAAAATCTATTTACATTTTTTTTTAAGAAAATCATTAAAAATATCAAAATAAATTTATATAAAGAAAGAGAGAAACTGCAATAATAATTTTTACAATTTATGAGTGAAAATAAAAAATGTAAGATTTTTTGTTACTTGTATATATAATATATATTCAATATGATTTAATAATTAAAATTATTTTATTATCATATAGTGGTTAATAATTTATATGTTTATTCAATATTTTTATATATTTATATATGTATAATTCGAGTTTTGGGTTACTCGAATTGTTTGATATGTTTGTCCAAATCCTCTCAAATTTAATTCAGACTTCTGAATCTTTGTTTAAACCCGTATTGAATTCAAAAATATCTTGTCTAAATCTTAAAAAAGTTAGGATTACACTCGACTTACTCAAATTGAGCTCGGCCAAGTTGTACCCTTTGAATTTAGTGCTCCAAGAGCAAGTTTTATTTTATTTTATTTTATTTTTGTGGAATAGAACAATACTCGAAAAACACTAACTCGTTTGGTATATAATAGTTTTAGTTTAAAAATCAAAAAATTACTTAAATTTTTTTAAAAAAAAAAAACCAACAACCTATATCAAAAAGTTAAAAAAAAAAATTCTTTCTACTTTTTACATATCTTTTCGTAAAAAATCAAAAAAGTCATTCAAAACATACTAATTTTTTTAACTCATATTTTAATAAAAAAATTAAAAAATTACTAAAATAATCTCTTCCCAAGCAAGGCCAACGTTCTTTCATAAAGGACAAAGTGGCCAACCACATCCGACTAATCGAAAATAGAGAGAAAACTGGCAGCGGACTAGGAATTAGTTTATAACCACATACCTAAAATTGAAGCAACAAAGTCGAGAGAATTAATAATAATAATAATAATAATAATAAAGGAAGATGCCATTGCAGTTGGCAACACACACAACCTGAGAGAGAGAGAGAGAGAGAGAGATGATGATGATGATGGAGGTGAAAGAAGCGTTGTTCATGAACAGAGGAGAAGGAGAAAATAGCTATGCACAAAACTCTTCTTTCACAGTAAGAAAATGTTTGTATATTTGTATAGTAGCATTACTCTTCATGGTATTTGGAATTCTCATTTCTTTGAAAATTTCTGCTAACTCAACGATTGTTATGCCTTGCAATTTGTATCCAAGTTATAGCTTTTGTTAATGAAATAACAGTTTTGAAGTTTTATTGGATTGTTAGGTTGTGCCTTTTTTTTTTTTCCACTCACTAAAATAATTGTGGATCAAACTTTGTTCCTCTAATTTTAACTACAATAGGAACTGTAGCCATGTTACTAATTGGACAACTTTATAAGTCACTGACAATAAAAAATAACTTGACGACTTGATATGAGTTGTTGATAGTTAAAAATTGTATCATTAAGATAAAATGACGTAACAAGTCACTGATAATAGCATGATATGATAAGTAACCGATATGAATTGATTCATGTCACTTTATAATATTTTTGTCTGTGATTTTATGTCTATTGTTAATGAATTTAATAAACAAAAAAATAGATGTTACAATGGATCATATGCAGCATTGATAGAACTCCCGATTAGAGAATTACAAGCTAATTCTAAAACTCATATGTACTTAAAAGACTATAAATAGATCATCTGGAGTGAAGTTGAAAAATGAAACTCCAAGACCTATATTACTGTTTTACAATTCGGTTACTCGGCTAATTTGTCACAATGTACATATTACAATCACATGTGAAATCGCATCTTAAAAACATAATTTTAATTACAGTATTGAAATCGTATTTTCAACATACCACGTTGGCGCCATATGCAATGCTAGTGGATGGTTGGGGTGGTCATATCAAAATAAAATCATATCTTTAACTTGCAATTTTATATTGAAATTGCATTTTGAAAATAAGTTTTCAAAAAAATGCACTAATTTGCTAAATGGTTTGAAAAGTGTAGTATTTTTTATAAATAATTTTGTTTTTTCCAACATTTATAAATTAAAAATAAAAAAAATTTTAAAAAAAGGCGAATCTTTAGTTTGATAAGTAACAACACTATTACACACCAAAAAAAATCCTTAAATAATAACATGTGTTAACCTAATTTATTTTAAATTTATCATACATCATACAAGTTTAAATCTACACCATACACTTTAATACTTTAGTGATAATTGCTCGGATTATATAACTTTTTTCGGAACAAACTCAAAAGTTGTTCTCTCTTGCAGCAAAAAGTGGCCTCAATGACAATGCCAGTGCTAGAAAATGCAGTTGAAACTCTCTTCTCCAAAGATTTCCACCTTCTTCAAGCTCTTAATGTAGCAGACTTGGGTTGTGCAACAAGTCCAAACACGTTCACAGTGATTTCTATGATCAAGAGAATGATGGAAAAGAAATGCAGGGAATTAAATTGCCAAACACTGGAACTTCAGGTTTACTTGAATGATCTTCCTGGAAACGATTTCAATACCCTCTTCAAAGGCTTGTTGTCTAAGGTTGTTGGCAACAAATGCGAGGAAGTTTCTTGTTACGTGATGGGAGTACCGGGGTCTTTCCATGGCCGGCTTTTTCCTCGTAACAGCTTGCATTTAGTTCATTCCTGTTACAGTGCTCATTGGCTTTCTCAGGTTTGTACATCCATTTGTTTCAACTAGTAACTAGTAATTAACCTTGTACTTACCAAATTATCCTATGTTAATTCCCATCACAATATGAGCAAAGGATAGTTAGATGTTGGTCGCATATTGTGATGGACACATGAATAATTTTCATTGACCACGCCATGCCACTAGTGAAAGATCAATATTATATTTACTCTAACTATATGACCGGTACTATATGTATTTATTTGTATTTGTTGTATGGATACATATAAAAGTTTCTTAAAAATTATAAAATTATTCAAAATATGTAGACTCAGAAAAATGAGCAATATAAACACGCGTAAAAAGGTCTTTTTCTATGTCTTTCCCAGTGTTTATGGAAAATTTCATGAAGTTTGAAATTTTCATATGATGGGCTTGGTGTATGTGCCAACTTAATTAGGATGTGCTTCTTAACCAATGAATGATGCTTTGATCCTACTCTCTTTTTGTTAATGTAATATCATTGTACTGCTTGTATAAGTTGTATTACTTATTTCATATAACCCATTTGCTTTTGATGTGTAATAAGCTTGCACACTAACCATTTCAATGGTTTCTTTGGTGAAATAAAAGGCACCAAAAGGACTCACAAGCAGAGAAGGTTTGGCATTAAACAAGGGGAAGATTTACATATCAAAGACAAGCCCTCTTGTTGTAAGAGAAGCCTACTTATCTCAATTTCATGAAGATTTCACAATGTTTCTCAATGCTAGATCCCAAGAGGTGGTTCCAAATGGTTGTATGGTGTTGATACTTCCTGGTAGGCAATCTTCTAATCCTTCAAGCATGGAGAGCTGCTTCACTTGGGAACTATTAGCTATAGCCATTGCTGAATTGGTTTCACAGGCAGCTGTAATTTTTAACACTTCTTTGCCATTAAATGTTTTCGTTTGATGTTCACAAGCTCTTACATACCTCTAGAACACAATTTTTCTAGGCCTAAAAATGGTAAAACATGCAAACCATAAACTGAAAATTCCCTTAGGTGCCGTCCACGAAGGTCTGATTTCGCTTGTTATATATTTTTTGTGCAAAATTTCTCATTTCTCAAAATTGGTTTCAATCATTCGTCATTACTCTCAAAATTCATTACAGACATATATAAACTATTCTTTAATTTACGGATTGCCTGAGGATAAAATGAAAGTACCTGTAGTTAATGCAAAAAATAAATAATAAAATAGTTTGGCTAAACCACTATTTTTACCTCAAGATAATACTTCAACAAAATGCTAGTTTAATTCGAGCCTGTCCTGGAGTTGGTGCAGCTATACCTGAGGAAACCAAGGAACTAACTTAAATAGGTCCACGTATGCTGGTTGAGAATGTTTCTAGTTCTCAGCCTAGCTTTGTCACTACTCTTGTGATTTCATATGTTATTGTTGCACAGCTTTGAATCTCATATCATTGAAGTCAAATGAAGCGATCAATGTTTGACAGATGATTCCAATCACAAACAAAAGGGATTCATATAAATGATATATAGCATTAAACATATGCAAAAGAATGTGAGCTGGAAATTTGCCAACAGAGAGTAATATCATCAAAATTGAATTGACTAATAGAAAAATAGAATTAATATCTCATTCTCCACAGTTTCTTCTTCTAAAAAAAGTAATGAAATAACTAGTGCCTGATGCCAATACAGTAATCCTTCATGTTAGGATCCTTTTGTTGTCAAAATCCATGGATCAAAACCAAGGTTGTTACAGGTTTCAGTTTTCCAGTTTTTTCAAATTTTTGGTCTCTCCGCTCGAGCGGGGAAAGGTACGCTCGAGCGGGAATTAGAAGCTCTCAGCATCTCTGCAGTCGCCTAAAAATTACTGGATGGTGTGATTCGACGCTCGAGCGTGGAAACTGCCGCTCGAGCATGGAGCCTGTATGAAATCACAAAAGTTGAAGTCTCCGCTCGAGCGGGACGACCCACGCTCGAGCGGACAGCGCGATCCCAGATTCTATATATTCGCTTTGTGGGTTTGTTTTAGGTCTACTTTTCCTAGATCTTATTCAAGAGTCCTAGGGTTTTGTTTGAGGTGTACCTTTGAAGTTTTGGTGAGTTTTCCTTGATGTTTTCGAGAAGAGTTCTTCACTCATGATCTAAAATACATACATCAAGGTGTTGGTTACTTTATATTCAAGAGAGAGTTCTCTTCGGTGGATTCCGAAGATTCTAGCGTATAGTTTTCAAAAGGCGTTTGATTCTATATGTGAGTGAGGTTGTGGAATCAACTTCAGGATTGATCAGTTCCGAGACGAAGTTGTGGAAAAAGAGTTACAGAAGATTCGAAGACAGATTGACTGAGTTGGGTAATTTGTATGATATCTTTGTAATCTTTTTACTTCAGTAGTGGATTGATTAGTGGCGTTTCGCCCGTGGTTTTTTAATCACAGTTGGAGGTGTCCAATTGTGGTTTTTTCCACGTAAAAATCGTTTGGAAGGCGAGAAGTTGCAGAAACAAGCTTCTCCATCTTGTCAATCCTCTTCTCTGTATCTTTCGATGCGTATTCCAATTTACCCAAATCAATTATACCCAGTTTGAGATCGGTGTAAACAAGGTCGAATCGATTCAAACCAAAATCAGAGCACTTATGGCCTAATCGAGCCACCGTGGTGGCGGCTTTATCGAGATCTTCAATCTTCTCGGCACAAGCGAGGCTCAAGAGAAAGACCTCATCCTTGGAATTCAAAAAGGCTACGTTTTTTTTTTAAAAAAACTATAGGAGTGTGATTTTGTGTGATTAGTATCATGGATTCTATTCGTGAAGGTAACTCCACTCATAGACCCTCATTACTTGACGGTACAAACTATTCTTATTGGAAAGCTCGTATGAGAGCATTTTTAAAATCCATCGATGAGAAAGTTTGGCACTCCGTAATCTTTGGGTGGAGTGAACCTACAATCACCGTTGATGGGATTGATATTCCTAAACCCCTTGATAAATGGGACACAATCGATTACCAGAATTCGAGTTGGAACAGCAAAGCTCTAAACTCCCTCTTCTGCTCTGTCACACCTGAAGAATTCCGTCGAATTTGCACGTGTGAAATAGCAAAAGAGGCGTGGGATATTCTTGAAACGATTCACGAAGGTACCACCTCTGTTAAAAGGGCAAAACTTCAACGTCTCACGTCCGCCTTTGAAACCCTTTTTATGCGCGACGATGAGACGTTCGATGAATTTTATGCAAAACTCAGTGATATCGTGAATTCCTGTTTCACTCTCGGTGAGAAAATCCCGGAAGCAAGAGTTGTTGGAAAAATTTTGAGGTCCCTTCCCGAGAGGTTCCAACCAAAGGTGACAGCCATTGAGGAGGCTCAGAATGTTGATACCCTCAAGCTCGATCAATTGGTTGGAAATTTGCAGACTTATGAAGCCCACCAAATTTCTAAGCAAAAGCAAAAAGAAAATATGGCTTTCACGAGTGCTCATGAGACTGCAAAACCTCCGGAGACTGAATTTGATTTAGAGTCTGAGATGACGGCTATGCTTACAAAACAGTTTAAAAAATTTTTGAAAAAGAAGCCGAATTTCAGAGCCCCTATTTCAAAAGATAAGAGTAGTGACAAACCCAAAACTGTTCCACCAAAATTTGCTCAAACTACTGAAAAAAAGATTGTAAGGGGACCAGGGGTCAAGTGTTATGAGTGTCAAGGGTTTGGTCACATTGCCCTTGAATGCCCTTCGAAAAAGAATCGAAAGAAAGTCTACACTGTAACTTGGGATGATGAAAGCGGGTCGGAGCAAGAACCCGAAGAACCTGAATCTGGAGAAGACGGGGATAGTGCTTTTATGGCTTTTTGGTCCACTTTCACTCAAACTCTTCCAAAGCCAGCAGAGTTAGCTCGTGGTTAGAACCTGCATCATGCTCCTACCTTTGATGGGAGTAACTACCTGTTTTGGAAAATCAGAATGAGAGCTTTTCTGAGAGCCTTTGATCCAGAAGGCTGGCAGGCCATTGAAGAAGATACAGACAGGGCTGACAATCCGAGCAATCAGAGAGCCCTGATCACTATTCGTGGAGCAATTTCTACTGAAGAACAGCAATAGGTTGTTCGTTGCACAAAGGCTAAAGAGGCATGGGAAATTTTGAGCCAATTCCATGAAGGAGGAAATTCACATTCACCACCATCCAGCAACTTTTCAGTCTTAGTTGCTAGATTGGAAGAGGCAAAGGAGAATGAAGAGCAAAAAGAGGATGATGAAACATCTGATGACAATGATGAGATCAATGGCGATGAACTACAACAAGCTTACGAAAAGCTATACGAGGAATCTCTGAATTTATCCAAAACCAACGACAAACTCTCTCTCAAGATCAAAACATGTGAGAGTGAGAATGTCAGGCTGAAAGGAGAACTTGTAGCAGCAAAGCAGAATATCGTCAAGATCTCGAGTGACAGGCAAGACTTATGTGGAAAATTACTATCCTATGAAACTGAAAGGAATGAACTTCTAAAGGTGTATTCCACATATGAAGAAAAGCTTGAAAGTCTGGAGCTGTCACAAGCCAGATTGGAAGAGATAGTCTGTCAAAAAGATGAAGAGCTTCGTGTTGCTAGAGCCACTATTGCCATGTGGAACAAAGGTTCCAAATCTTTAGAAGACATCCTCGGGTCTCAACAAATGGGTTGCGACAAAAGCGGGTTAGGCTATGGTGCAACAGCTCACAAGGGACAGGCCTCTACTTCACATGACAAGAAACCTCAAGCAAAGGGAAAATTGAAGATAGACCAGGCTGATCTCTCTCTTCGTCTACCTAAAGCTGGTAAGATCAACAAAAAAAGGTAAAACCGGTTTTTATTTGTCATCACTGTGGTAGGTATGGCCGCATTCGTCCTTATTGCTATGAATTGTTTGGTAAGGTGTCTCAAAAGAGTAAAAATTCAAATACTTTTTGGGCTAGGAGACAACCTTACATGTCTAGGCGGAATACCAAGACTAAAAGATCTGGGTGAGAAAAGATGATTTGACTTGTTTAGTTGTTCACACTGCTCTAAAAGCACGTGATTCACACATGTGGTATCTTGATAGTGGGTGTTCTCGTCATATGTCCGGTAACAAATCCTACTTCACCTCCCTTGAAAAATATGAAGGAGGAATTGTTACCTTTGGAGATGGCGGCACTTCTAGAGTCATTGGTAAGGGCTCTATAAGTGTTGCTGGTCTTCCTAAACTTGAAAATGTTTTGCTTATTGACGGCCTTAAAGCTAATCTGTTGAGCATTAGTCAAATGTGTGATTCCTATCATGAAATATTATTTTCAAAAAATAAATGTGAAATTTTGGATAAAAAGGGAAATACTGTCTTACATGGGGTTCGCACATCTGATAACTGCTATGGGATTGTTACTACTAATGATCTCACTTGTCACTCAACCATCATTAGTAACATTGACCTATGGCATCAAAGATTAGGTCACATGAATTTCAAAGACCTAACTAAGATAGCCAACAAAGAGCTTGTGAGAGGAGTACCTAAACTGGGTAAGAATTTCAGCCATGTGTGTGGACCATGTCAACTCGGAAAGCAAACCCGTGCCCTTCATAAAAAGGTGAACAACTTTACAACCAAACGTCCGCTTGAATTGGTTCACATGGATTTAATGGGTCCTACTCGCACTGAAAGCATCGAAGGTAAAAGATACATTTTTTTAACTGTTGATGATTTTACTCGATTCTCATGGGTAAATTTTTTAATGGAAAAATCTGATACGTTTGATGCTTTCCAGGCCTTAGTCTTTAAAATCCAAAATGAACAGGGTGTTTCCATTGGGCGTATCATAAGAATCTGAACTGATCATGGTCGTGAGTTTGAAAATAGTTCGTTTTCGGATTTTTGTGATAT